TTGTAAAGGAAATATTGCTTTTGTGATTTTTTTTTTAATGTATGTGCTTAGGATTTTCTTTCTCTCAGTTAACAGCTATTACGTTGGAGAACAACTCTTCTCACATTTTCAATTTTCCTTATCAAAATAGAGTTGCCTGGAGCTTGTTTGGCCCTTTCATGTTCAGATTATATATGGACAGAGAAATGTTTCCTATCTTAAACTACTTTCTATAAAAGATGTCTCTAACTCAGCCACCAAGTTGTAGAACTCAGATGGTATCAATATATTAACAATGCTAATTGAGACAGTTTTAGATCATAAATGCCAAAAGTCCATAAAGAGAAGATAAGAACATCAGAGTGTGACCTAGAAAAGAAAAAAATAGTTTCCCCTTTTCATCTCTTGATATTTTTGCTTATATCATTATATATGGTTTCTCTGTATTATGAGAGGATAAAAGAATGAGTTGTAATATAAAAAGTGTATATATAGCCTTTGGAAAATGTTTACTTCTTTGAACTAGTCTTGGAATGCTGCACATCCCATTCCCATTATAAACTGGGATGATGGGGCCAATAAAGTCTCTCTGTTTCTATAAGCCAAATACTATCTTCTCCATGCTACAGAAGGATCTGATAGTGTCAATGACTATAAATCAGGGAGACAGGTAACCGGGTAACAAAAACAAATATGTGTACATATAAAAGAAAATCAGATATATGTTTTCAGCTTTTGATATTTTTTAAAACGAAGTTTGAATATTTCAAGTTGCTGAAAATAATTGGTTGAGTCAAATTATGAGAAAAATTTGAACGTTAAAATGCCCTCTTGTAATGAGTTTACTATCTCTCAGTAGAATAGGCCAAGATTCTAACACATTAGGGAAAATTAAGGTTCATGTGACATGATCTTTTCAGCAAGTTGTCTGTGATCTTTAAAAGAAAGGAAGAAATTAGAAGTAAGACTAAATATCAAGAAGAGAGTACTTGTGGAAATAATTTCTAAGTATGTAGAACATGTCTAGATGAGACACTTACGATAAAAGACTAAAACATTTACACCCCTAAGGCTCAATTTCTATGGTCTTACTTTCTCTTTTAAATGCACTAAGCTTCACGTGTTAGATGGAGACATGAGTGGAACTGGTGTAAAAATAATATGAATGTAGTAACAAATATTTTTC